TATTTGTTAAAAATAGAGACCCGTTCCGATTGGACCCGAGGACAACTAGACACGTTCTGTATAGTCCTGGTTGGATCCAGACCCGGTCCGAACCCAGTGAGGGAAGCAGCAGAATATATATTTTTGAAACTACTTTATTAACCGGAGCTGATAAAGCGTGAGAGGAGGGAGAGAGGTGCTGCTCTAGCAGGCCAGGGAGGGGCCGTACTGTGAGCGAGTGGCATGGGGAGCAGGAAGGAGGGAGGGAGAAACGAGAGACACCAAGCTGACTTGCGCTATAGTAGACTAATAGCTGCCATAGCTAAGTTATTTGTCATCAAACACGATTTACGTAGTACCTGTCTTCACTGCATCAAACCGTAACAAGAAGCTAGTTAAGATAGCTAACAATAGCTAGCTAGGCTAACTGGGTCTGCAGTGCATGCACTTTTTCATCCTACAGTTACAAATAACAACGGAGGGCATACTGACAGGGACTCAACCCCAGGTCTCTTCTCATTCAGTGACTGACAGGGACTCAACCCCAGGTCTCTTCTCATTCAGTGACTGACAGGGACTCAACCCCAGGTCTCTTCTCATTCAGTGACTGACAGGGACTCAACCCCAGGTCTCTTCTCATTCAGTGACTGACAGGGACTCAACCCCAGGTCTCTTCTCATTCAGTGACTGACAGGGACTCAACCCGAGGTCTCTTCTCATTCAGTGACTGACAGGGACTCAACCCGAGGTCTCTTCTCATTCAGTGACTGACAGGGACTCAACCCGAGGTCTCTTCTCATTCAGTGACTGACAGGGACTCAACCCCAGGTCTCTTCTCATTCAGTGACTGACAGGGACTCAACCCCAGGTCTCTTCTCATTCAGTGACTGACAGGGACTCAACCCGAGGTCTCTTCTCATTCAGTGACTGACAGGGACTCAACCCGAGGTCTCTTCTCATTCAGTGACTGACAGGGACTCAACCCGAGGTCTCTTCTCATTCAGTGACTGACAGGGACTCAACCCCAGGTCTCTTCTCATTCAGTGACTGACAGGGACTCAACCCCAGGTCTCTTCTCATTCAGTGACTGACAGGGACTCAACCCGAGGTCTCTTCTCATTCAGTGACTGACAGGGACTCAACCCGAGGTCTCTTCTCATTCAGTGACTGACAGGGACTCAACCCCAGGTCTCTTCTCATTCAGTGACAGACAGGGACTCAACCCCAGGTCTCTTCTCATTCAGTGACAAGAACGTTGTTTGTTTGTGCTCATAAGGCACCATGGCCATTAGAAGAGTGTATGCTTATAGTCTGAAATTGCCAGGGGGAAACTTGGTGTGGGTGTGTGCGAGTTATTAGATCATTAGATTGATAAGCGTGAGTGTGCAGTGACGCCTGTTTGAACGAGTTATTAGATCATTAGATTGATAAGCGTGAGTGTGCAGTGACACCTGTTTGAACGAGTTATTAGATCATTAGATTGATAAGCGTGAGTGTGCAGTGACGCCTGTTTGAACAAGTGTATTAGATTGATGCCCATTTGCTGGTTTTGCCCCTACTTTTTACCACCCACACAACCTGCATACACACACCTGCATACACACACACAACCTGCATACACACACCTGCATACACACACAACCCGCCCGTCTCTACCTGTATATGTAACCACGGTTCCTCCTTCTGAAAATAATCTGTGGCACAACCTCTTCCAGGTCGTAATAATTATAATAATATGGTTATTATGTGCTAAAAGAGCAAGGATTTCCTTGTTACTAAAGCCAATTCTAAAGTATAGTTTCACCAGTCTTCTAACTCAGGCATTTCAACAGTGGTGAGCACACAAAAAAAAGGGCCAGGGAGACATGCAATTAATGACCAAATCCCATACTGAAATATAACTGACTTTATTCTCAAAATGTTGACTTTATTCTACAAATTTTGACTTCGTTCTCGAAATTACATTTTAAGTTTATTCTTGAAATATTGCCGCTTTATTCTCAAGATATTGCCACTTTTTTAAAATCCAAGTACCACCACCCGTTGCAGTTTTTCTTTTTTCTTTTCATTTGGCCCTAACACTCTTCAGTACGTCCCTGATCAATCTATTGAAGCAAAAAAAACACTGTTGACTTTCAATATAAAACACGACCCCTGTCAACACACAGCTGGACTCCCCTGCTCCCACTTTCTCTCCTTGTGCTATTTACAAACAAACATGTGACTGGCTCAACTGTTCTTGGGAATCTTCATCATGTAAAATAATGTGACAGGTGAAATGAAGGTGATCTGCTTTATCTCTTAACGTATTGTACAAGTTGACTGCAGGTATTTACTTAAGTAGCTACAAATATGAAAATGTATTGAAAAACTTCAAATAAATAGTTTCAACGGTATTGAAAAATCATCCCGTGGCTATTTCCAAATACCCCGGTATACCGCCCAAGCCTACCATACACTCACTCTCAGTATAAAACTGGAATCTGAAAAACAAAGACCCTATGTGGGAGAGAGATTCCTGACTATACAACTGAAGTCCTAGCTGTTTGTACCACTACCAAGTCATGAAGTGATTTTTCTGTAAAGGGTGGGTTAAATGGAGAAATAAGAAAGGCAAACTCTAGCCTTTCATTGGGGCAAGTGAGTCAGTGTGGTACAAGGTTTGCCAGGTGACCGGTACAGCCAGGAACAGGTGAGGTCTGTTTTGCCTGAAGACTATAATACGGATCAGGGAGAAGGAGGTCAGAGGGGCCATATGTGGTGTTGTTTTAGATGCTAGTTTCTGTGAGTATATATGTGTGTGTGTCCTGTTGTCATGGATGTGTTAGCTAATGAGCTCACATGGGGTATAGTCAGGTATATTATATGATACATCTACCTGTCTCCTGAGTTAGCTAGGCTTACAGATCAGCTGTCGTTTTAGCGATGCTACCTGTCTCCTGAGTTAGCTAGGCTTACAGATCAGCTGTCGTTTTAGTGATGCTACCTGTCTCCTGAGTTAGCTAGGCTTACAGATCAGCTGTCGTTTTAGTGATGCTACCTGTCTCCTGAGTTAGCTAGGCTTACAGATCAGCTGTCGTTTTAGTGATGCTACCTGTCTCCCGAGTTAGCTAGGCTTACAGATCAGCTGTAGTTGTAGTGATGTTTGAATTCAGTGGAATACCTTTGGCTGACAGCCCTACTTCTCTCTTGTAGTACTGTATCATTTTGGTCATCCGTCATTGCTACTAACATTATACTATTGCACTTGCGTGTTTCATTTTGACATATAAGCTGCTGGCCTTGCTGTTACTCGCTCTAATACTATGCAAGGTGTTGGCATACGCAGGGGATTGAGGATAACGTTGTAGCGTATTGGAAGGGCACCATGACAGGGACTGATGCACACAACTCATGTCTCTTCACATTCTGACAACGCACCATGGCCATTAGAACGGTATTGCTTTGGGGATACCGTGTGGGTGTGAGCGAGAGAGACGGTGATGATGCAGTTTTTCCTCTGTGTGTGTGTGTTGTGGAAACGGTGTCAGTACAGGGCCTCGACACTGGAGGCTCTTTTCCATCAATGACAAACCGACGGACACACACTAGAGCTGAAACACACAACTGAACTGGACCTAGGACAGGAAGAGGAAGGTTAGGTTAGCAAACATTTCTGATAAACCAGTCAGATATGGAGAGGAGGTTGTGTAACTATAATGCTACGGTGTGTCCTTAGGGTCCCAGGACCATTATGTTCACCAGAGTAACGGTGTGTGAATGGGGTTTTAGCGTTAGGGACGGTAGTCATTGAGAATCCACAGGAGCATCCTTCTTTCCGTTCATCACAGCTCAGAAGAGTAACCATGGTTACACACACACCTCGACTACCTCCCCTACCATCTGTTAACAGTGTGTACAGGTGACATGTTTCGTCATCGTTTCATAACCCTTCAGGTAAAATCAAGGCACACACACAGAATGTGTGATGATTTTTCATATTTGCAGCAGTCACCAGAGAAAGTCATGAGAAAGATATGCAATTCTGGACTCTTTGTATGATGTCATGAGAAAGATATGCAATACTAGACTCTTTGTATGATGTCATGAGAAAGATATGCAATACTAGACACTTTGTACTTTACCGCTTCCATTAGGGTGCTAGGTGTATAGGTTGGACGTACGTGTGTGTAAACATACTTCCTCATAGAAGGGTTATAACTGCTAGCTAATAGACTTCTCTGGTATGATGGCTCTGGCTGTACTAGCTAATTTCCCCCCAACATCGGACACGCCCTAACCTAATATATTTCTTAAACGCTGTTGAATATGCTGATGATACGGGGTTCCACTATAGCTATGAACAGAGCTTTGTGTTTCTAGAAAGACAACTAGAAGGACGTGGCCATGCGCAGGGGCGCAACTTTGGTTTTAGAAGTGGGGGGGACATATTTCTTATTTTTTATTCATGTTTTAATCCAGTCAGATAAACACTCCAAACATGCGTATGACCTACACAGGGAAAACGGTCATACACCAGTGACACTAGGGTTATTAACCTGGACATGTGCTCAACCTCTACTCCTGGAGAGCTTTGCTCCAGCCTTTCTGTAACAAAAGCCTGCACTGCCTATAGCTGTCCACGTATGTACATGTCTAATCTTATCTCCGTCCTGTGTTGACTTTACAGGGATATGAAACTGCAACAATGCTTTTGTTTGTCCCTCTCCTCCTCCAATCTCTCTCTTTTCATTGTTCTTACTCATTCTCTTTCAGTTCAAATGAGCTTTATGAGCTTTATTATAGGAGCAATACAAAAGCAATTGTGTATAAACAGAAGTAACATTAAACATCATAAACATCTCTCCCTCATCTCACTCTCTTCCTCTCTCTCCCCCTCCCTCCCTCCCTCCCTGCCTCCCTCACTCTCCCCCTCCCTCCCTGCCCCTCTCTCTCCCCCTCCCTGCCTCCCTCTCTCTCCCCCTCCGTCCCTCCCTTCCTCTTCTCTCCACCTCTGTCCCTCCCTCTCTCTTTCTTCAGGTGTCTCTGTTGTCCAGGAGATGAATTTTGAGCAGCCTCCTCCATACAAGGGCCCAGGCCCCACGGCCCCCGGTTACCCTCCCCAGGGCTACCCCGAGCAGGGATACCCTCCCCAGGGCTACCCCGTCAACATGGAGCAGCCTGGTGGATACCCTCCTCAAAACCCAGCCTACCCCAACTACCCTGCTGGCCCCGGGGGCCCTCCTGGACCTTACCCCGGCCAGGGACAAGCAGGCCCCTACCAGGGGGGTTACCCAGGACAGCCCCAGTTTGGATGGCAGGGAGGACCACCCCCAGGACCCATGTATGGAGAGGCACCCAAAAACACAGGTGAGAGGAGAGGAGAGGAGAGGAGAGGAGAGGAGAGGAGGAGAGGAGAGGAGAGGAGAGGAGAGGAGAGGAGAGGAGAGGAGAGGAGAGGAGAGGAGAGGAGAGGAGAGGAGAGGAGAGGAGAGGAGAGGGGAGAGGAGAGAAAAGGAGAAGATATAGTTTGCCTTGACTACTTGGTATGCAAAGACAATGGATGTGCTTTGGGAACAATGTTCTTTATACCAGTGGTTCTCAAACCTCTCCTCGGGGACCCCCAGCTCTTCCAGTCATCTAATGCAGCACTCCATCACTCTCCTTCTTTGTAAAATAGCCCTTACACAGCCTGGAGGTGTGTTAGGTCATTGTCCTGTTGAAAAACAAATGATAGTCCCACTATAATTTGTTGGGGAATACACATGCGGAGATCATCCGTTCACCCACACCGCGTCTCACAAAGACACGGCGGTTGGAACCAAAAATCTCCAATTTGGACTCCAGACCAATGGACAAATTCCCACCGGTCTAATGTCCATTGCTCGTGTTTCTTGGCCCAAGCAAGTCTCTTCTTCTTATTGGTGACCTTTAGTAGTGGTTTCTTTGCAGAAATTCGACCATGAAGGCCTGATTCACACAGTCTCCTCTGAACAGTTGATGTTGAGATGTGTCTGTTACTTGAACTTTGTGAAGCATTTATTTGGGCTGCAATTTCTGAGGCTGGTAACTCTAATGAACTTATCCTCTGCAGCAGAGGTAACTCTGGGTCTTTCATTCCTGTGGCGGTCCAGTTTCATCATAGCGCTTTATGGTTTTTGTTACTGCTCTTGAAGAAACTTTCAAAGTTCTTGAAATGTTCTGTACTGACTGACCTTCATGTCTTAAAGTAATGATGGACTGTTGTTTATCTTTGCTTATTTGAGCTGTTCTTGCCATAATACGGACTTGGTCTTTTACCAAATACGGCTACCATCTGTGACAAGGTTGGGGGGCTACCTTGTCACAACACAACTGATTGACTCAAACGCATTAAGAAGGAAAGAAATTCCACAAATTAACTTTTAAGAAGGCACACCTGTTTAATTGAAATGCATTCCAGGTGACTATCTCATGAAGCTGGTTGAGAGAATGCCAAGAGTGTGCAAAGCTGTCATCAAGGCAAAGGCTATTTGAAGAATCTCAAATATAAAATATAAATATAATATAAAAACCTTTTTGGTTACTACATGATTCCATATGTGCTATTTCATAGTTTTGATGTCTTCACTATTATTCTACAATGTAGAAAATAGTAAAAATAAAGAAAAACCCTTGAATGAGTAGATGTTCTAAAATGTTTGACCAGTAGTGTATATAGTATTTTTTTGTATTTGTGTACATATTGTCCATGAGTTTCTGGTAGCTAGATCATATGGTTAAAGAGAAATAGCCTAATTAATGAAAAAGCATATAATCAACAATGGCATTATTTTCAATTAACGCTGTAACTCCAACTATTGACTTTTTTTCACCACTGCCACCAGTTTGACGCGAAAGCATTGACAACAAAGACATACTGACATAGTCAAATCAATAGGTGTGTAAAAAAAGATATAAAGGATATTTCATGCTGAAATCCTCATATTAAACACGTATTCACTAAGTTGATGGTTTATATTTAGGATAATGTTTTACAGCTTTGTCATAAAATCATCGTATTTAATGATTTCATTTATTTTACGTGTGATAAGCCCACGCAGAGGGCCAGAGATAACCTGTGATAATCTGAAGTACCCAAAAGGGCCACTAGATGTCTTGTGATAGATTACATAAAAAAGGGGATTTACCCATGTTTTTATTTTTTAGTCATTTTAGCAGACGCTCTTATCCAGAGCAATTAGGGTTAAGTGCCTTGCTCAAGGGCACATCGACAGATTTTTCACCTAGTTGGCTCAGGGATTAGAACCAGCGACCTTTCGGTTACTGGCACAACGCTCTTACCCACTAAGCTACCTGCCGCACCCTTTTTGAAGTCGTAAATACTAGTTGGATGCATTAATGTGCTGTGAACTTGTTGAGAAACGCTGATTGGCTAATGGCCAACAATTTGTCTAAACCATAAACTAAAAGTACAGCTATCATGCTTGTAAACAAATGATCATGTTAAAAAAACATATTAATAGCTTGCTTTTTATAAATAATATTTTGTTGTTGCATTAAACTGCCGAAAATGCTGTTATCGAGGTCATTTCCTTAGTATATGAAGTCAGAGGTCAGCAGGTGGGAGTTCAGGATGATAGATGAGTTTCACACTAGTAATTACCAGTTGGAGGGCCATTCAAGTGGATTCTTTCCAGTCGTACTTGGTAAATACCACCTTCCCGCTTGGTTATGAACGCATCATCACTTACTGCCTGGCAACTGTTGCTAGAGAGCAGTCCCTTTGTACTGCTGCAGTACCTTGTCACTCAGGTAACACACCTGACCTGACTCACTCCAGATGGCAGCCTTCGTAAGATGTGTGTGTGTACAGTAATGACTAACAGCAAATATACCAAAGATAACAAGAAGGGTAGGTTGTTAGCCCTAGGTGTGTGTGATGTGTGTAGTGTGTATTCCAAGGGTGGCAGTTAGCCTAGCGGTTAGAGCAGGGGTGTCAAACTCATTTTAGCTCAGGGGCCACATGGAGGAAAATCTATTCCCAAGTGGGCCGGACCGGTAAAATGATGGTATATATATAACTTAAAAACAACAACTTCAGATTGTTTTCTTTGTTTTAATACTATCAACATAAAACAACTGGAGCCTGAGGACAGTGTGTCCAAAATAGTACAAGCACAACATCACTATTAATCATAAAACACCTCAAGTTTATTTGAAAATTCTAAAGAAAAAGAACACACAAACACACAATGCCTCAGTGATTCACAGAACTGTTTCACAGATCACAGAACTATATCAGGGTGTCATTTCTCAGGCAGAAATGTAGATACAAATAATGAAATCCTGTTCCCCAAACAAGTGCAAGAACCACAGAGTCAAGAATAGGTTAAATATACAAATAAAATAAAATCAATTAAAAACAATAGCACATCAACATAAAAACATATAAACATAAAGCTGGAGCCTGAGGACAGTGTGTCCAAAAGCACAACATCACTATTAATCATAAAACACCTCAAGTTATTTGAAATTCTGAGGACAAACAACACACAAACACACAATGCCTCAGTGATTCACAGAAGAATATCACAGATCACAGAACTATATCAGGGTGTCTCATGCAGCACTTTAAGTGGGGTTGCATAGTTTATTTGACTCCTGATACCTGGCATCTTTTAGCTTTCACCAGCGCATCAATATCAGGCGTCACATCCTGAGTGGCAGCCAACTTCAGGATGTGATTCAAGTGCTTGTGCGTGAGCCTTGAGCGCAGCTTTGTTTTATTTATGCTCATTACAGAGAACTTGCTCACAAAGATATGTGGTGCCAAACATGCACAACAGTTTTGCAGCGAGGGCTGTCAAGTTGGGGTAACCTGGCAAGAGATTCTGATAAAATGTGTCCAAGCCAGCTGCGGCAAATTTGCCCTTCAAATCCGAGTCACACTGCAAGTCTATTATTTCAAGTTGGATGCTGACGGGCAGATCAGAGGGATTCACGGTGAATGGCGAACAAAAAACTTTGAAGTCTTTCTCCAGTTCACCAAAAATCTGAAAGGTTGCTCAAACTCCCTTAACAGTCCCGTTATTTTATCTTTGAACCGCTTCATGTCTGCCACATGTTGGGTCGCGCACACATTTTTCAGACAGGGGAAGTGAGCTGCATCACCACCGGCGAGTTGCGTCTCCCACAATGACAGCTTCAACTTGAAAGAACGTATGCTGTCATAATACTGCGTGGCAACTTTGTTGCGCCCTTGCAGCTGTTTGTTCAAGTTATTCAGGTGCTCTGTAACATCCACCATAAATGCAAGGTCCTGCATCCATTCTGCGGAATGAAATTCTAACACTGGTTTGCCCTTTTCTTCCATGAACTGTTCAATTTCTTCTCGTAAATCAAAGAAATGCCTCAGCACAGCACCTCGGCTTAACCATCTTACCTCAGTGTGGTATGGCAGGCCATAGATGTGGTCTTTCTCTCTGAGAAGGCTGTCAAACTGACGGTGATTCAGGCTTCTGGATCGGATGAAATGAACAGTTTGGATGACCACCTTCATGACGTTATCCATCTTTAATGACTTGCAACACAAAGCCTCCTGGTGCAAAATACAGTGAAAAGTCCAAAAATCACGTCCTCCATTTGCAGATTGCACTTTCTCTCTGAACTTTTTCACAACGCCTGCTTTTTTCCCGATCATTGAGGGCGCACCATCTGTAGCCAGGCTGACAGCGCGGGACCAGTCCACTCCGACCCTGTCCAGCGCGCCGACGAGTGCAGTGAAAATATCAGCTGCTGTCGTTGTATCTGTCATCGGCACCAACTCCACGAACTCCTCGGTGACGGTCAATGTGTCATCAACTCCGCGGATGAAAATGGCCAGTTGTGCAACATCTGTAATGTCCGTGCTTTCATCAATTGCAACCGAAAACGCAATAAATGACTTTACTTTTTGCTTCAACTGGCTGTCCAAATCCACTGAAAGATCGGAAATCCTGTCTGCAACTGTGTTTCTTGTCAGGCTGATATTTGCAAAAGCCTGGTGCTTTTCAGGGCACACAATCTCTGCTGCCTTCATCATGCATGTTTTTACAAATTCACCCTCACTAAATGGTTTTGAAGCCACTGCGATTTCATTAGCAATGAGGTAGCTAGCTTTCACTGCAGCGTCACTGATGTCTCGGCTGTGAGTAAACACAGACTGCTGTTTCTTCAGACCCACCAACAGTTAATTCACCTTCTCTCTTCTCCGCTGTCCTTGAAAGTTGTCATATTTGTCGGCATGAAGACTCACATAGTGGCGACGAAGGTTATATTCTTTCAGCACTGCAACATGTTGTGAACGCACCAAACATACAGCTTTCCCATTAAATTCCGTGAATAAATAGAAGGATGACAATTTTTCTTGGAACACTCTGCACTCTGCGTCCACTTTTCTCTTTTTTGACAGAGACATATTGGGGCAATGAGGGTGCCAAAGCACGTAATGTTAAAAGTAGAAGCCGTAATAAATATCGCGGGCAAAACAAAGTAGCTCATCCGGACTGGCTGCACTTGCTTGACCTATTTGCTCTGCCCCGGTATAAACAGTTTGCTTGCTTAACACAATTGCTATTGCGCCATCCAGTGGACACAATTGGAACAGCAGTTTCTTTTATTGAAAAATTGCAGCTCATTTTTATACTTTACAAAATCATCTCGCGGGCCGGATTAAACCCGTTTGCGGGCCTGATCCGGCCCGCGGGCCGGACGTTTGACACCCCTGGGTTAGAGCGTTGGGCCAGTAACCGAAAGGGCGTTGGTTCAAATACCCATGCAAACAAGGTGAAAAATCTGTCTTTATAATTTGCGCCGTACTACTATGGCTGACCCTGTAAAAAAAGACATTTTACTGCACCTATCTGGTGAATGTGACAATAAAACATCCTTTTTGTTATTGCCAGTTGTAAAGGTTTAACTTTAAATTAATGTTTAACTCTCTCTCCCTCCCTCCCTCCCTCCCTCCCTCCCTCCCTCCCTCCCTCCCTCCCTCTAGTGTACGTGGTGGAGGAGAGGAGGAGAGATGATTCAGGAGACACGTGTCTGACTGCCTGTTGGACGGCTCTCTGCTGCTGCTGCTTGTGGGACATGCTCACATAACCTCTGACCCCTGACGTTTACCCTCGACCCTTACCTGCTCTGACCCTTACCCTTACCCTTTGCCTCTTAACCCTTAACGCAAAGTCCCTCTCATCTTAACCTAACCTCCAACCCCTGAGGCTAAACCCCTAACCCAGTAACTCCTAACACACTATCCCTCCACCTTAATCCTTCTCTCTCCCCTTAACTATCGGCCTTAACCCTTGCACTCCTGCTGTCCGTCCCAAACGTCCAGCCCGAACCCCTGTACCATGGTAGCATTATATGATAACCTCTATCTCCTTGTGCTCCTACAGCTGACCTAGCCCCTTCCCAGGGCTGTGCTCTGCTCTGTAGCAGTGTAGCTAGCGTATGTTCCCTAAATCTCAGGTGCTGGACTATAGATATTGCTTTTTGTGGAACACAAACTCATGCTCAAAAACCATACACAGAATATGCACTCAGATCTCAGGCATTCTACATTAATACACTCTCTCTCTCTCTCTCTCTCTCTCTCTCTCTCTCTCTCTCTCTCTCTCTCTCTCTCTCTCTCTCTCTCTCTCTCTCTCTCTCTCTCTCTCTCTCTCTCTCTCTCTCTCTCTCTCTCTCTCTCTCTCTCGGGCACTTTAACCTTTTTACCTCTGCAAGGTACTTCTCCTGCCTCCCTCCCTCCTCCCAAATAAACCTCTAGTCCTACTACACCCTAAACCCTACAACACCCTAACAAATGACTCTCTACGCCCTATCCGTCATGGCTACCTAGACCAATGAATGCCAGTAAGCTACAGTGTCCCCCACCCCCCTGCCAACCCCCCACTGTACGATGCTGAAGCTTGAACCTTCCTCTCTGCTATGTTTGCACAACAGCTGCTGTGGTTGACTGTTTGTCTTAGGATGAATCCTATGACAACAAATTGAATGCATTTTTAAAGACCATGACAATGACGATTTAACGTTTGATTTCATGTAATATTGTTCTATGCTTGCAACGTTTTTCCTGTTTTAATTTCTTGATCCTGAATTAATATGATTTGATTGTTATGTTCTTTTTAATACCCTCGTTCCTTGAAGGAGAGAGAATTTTTTACATGGTGGATGTTTATTATGTATATGCCTTTGCCTGACATGAGAATCTTGCGTTAAGAATAAATTATTCCCAAAACAATCAACGTTGTCTGGTGTCTTTCACTCTCTGGTGGTCTTAGCCCCAGTGTTCAGTCAGGTGTGTGTGCATGTGTGTTTTACTGTAGAGCTAGTATCTGGTGTGTGTGTTTTACTGTAGAGGTAGTATCTGGTGTGTGTGTTTTACTGTAGAGGTAGTATCTGGTGTGTGTGTTTTACTGTAGAGGTAGTATCTGGTGTGTGTGTTTTACTGTAGAGGTAGTATCTGGTGTGTGTGTTTACTGTAGAGGTAGTATCTGGTGTGTGTGTTTTACTGTAGAGCTAGTATCTGGTGTGTGTTTACTGTAGAGGTAGTATCTGGTGTGTGTGTTTTACTGTAGATCTAGTATCTGGTGTGTGTTTACTGTAGAGGTAGTATCTGGTGTGTGTGTTTTACTGTAGAGGTAGTATCTGGTGTGTGTGTTTTACTGTAGAGGTAGTATCTGGTGTGTGTGTTTTACTGTAGAGGTAGTATCTGGTGTGTGTGTTTTACTGTAGAGGTAGTATCTGGTGTGTGTGTTTTACTGTAGAGGTAGTATCTGGTGTGTGTTTACTGTAGTAGAGGTTGTGAGTGTGTTATAGATGTCTATGGTTCGTAATTGGTTCCAGGATCTGGGTCTATTTTTATACTACTGGACTGCCGTGTCCTTGGCTGGGGAGTCACGTTGGACTGCCGTGACCTTGGCTGGGGAGTCACGTTGGACTGCCGTGACCTTGGCTGGGGAGTCACGTTGGACTGCCGTGACCTTGGCTGGGGAGTCACGTTGGACTGCCGTGTCCTTGGCTGGGGAGTCACGTTGGACTGCCGTGACCTTGGCTGGGGAGTCACGTTGGACTGCCGTGACCTTGGCTGGGGAGTCACGTTGGACTGCCGTGACCTTGGCTGGTGAGTCACGTTGGACTGCCGTGACCTTGGCTGGGGAGTCACGTTGGACTGCCGTGTCCTTGGCTGGGGAGTCACGTTGGACTACCGTGACCTTGGCTGGGGAGTCACGTTGGACTGCCGTGACCTTGGCTGGGGTGTCACGTTGGACTGCCGTGTCCTTGGCTGGGGAGTCACGTTGGACTGCCATTGTCTTGGCTGGGGAGTCACGTTGGACTGCCGTGACCTTTGCTGGGGAGTCACGTTGGACTGTCGTGACCTTGGCTGGGGAGTGGGGAGGCAGAAAGGAGGTGGACGCCGGGATTGAACCCCAGTGGCGAGGCAGACAAGAGGTAGACGCAGTGATTGAATCCCAGTGGCGAGGCAGACAAGAGGTGGACGCAGTGATTGAACCCCAATCTCCAGTGGGGAGGCATAAAGGTGATAGCAGGGATTGAACTCCAGTGGGGAGGCAGACCGGTGATTGCAGGGATGGAACTCCAGTGGGGAGGCAGACCAGTGACGGCAGGGATGGAACTCCAGTGGGGAGGCAGACCGGTGATGGCAGGGATTGAACTCCAGTGGGGAGGCAGACCGGTGATGGCAGGGATTGAACTCCAGTGGGAAGGCAGACCGGTAATAGCAGGGATTGAACTCCACTTTCTCTTGGTCTCAAAATATACATCAGCCAATTAAAATTGTCATAGATGCATGTGATCAAACGCTATATAACGTTCAGACTTTTATGCCTTTCCTACTCACTTCTCAGCTGAAAACCCTCCCACTTGCTAGCCAACATATTTTCTCAAGGAGTTTTCGTTCAATAGGGTTTTCAGTACATTTATCTAAAGCCATCCCTTTAAATTTGGTGTACTTTTAATTTTAATTTTCTTGACCGACTCAGTAGACATGGAGAGAACGGTTCAGAATATTAGGGATCAATGAAAGAAAGCCATGTAAATACACACATAGTCCTATTCGTCTCCTTTTCAGCACCAATATTCTGATCTTGTATATTAGGTTTGGAGAGCCTTTACGCATCACATATATTGGTGACTTAATAATACAGTGTTTTGATTCATCCTGAAAGTTTCCATATTCAATTGTTCAGTCCATGAAATATTGGAAGGTGAGAAAAGTGTACAATAGGGGTTGGACAGTAGTCTATATAGTAGTCTATAAACCTACCCTAATGATCCTCACTAATCACGGAACTGTGACAGTGGTGTAAAGTACTTAAGTAAAAATACTTCAAAGTACTACTTAAGTAGTTTTTTGGGGTATCTTTACTTTACTATTTATATTTTTGACAACTTTTACTTCACTACATTCCTAAAGAAAATAATGTACTTTTTAACTCTACATTTTCCTTGACACCGAAAAGTAGTCATTACATTTTGAATGCTTAGCAGGACAGGAAAATTGTCCAATTCACACACTTATCAAGAGAACATCCCTGGTCATCCCTACTGCCTCTGATCTTGGTGGACTCACGAAACAGGAATGCTTTGTTTGTAAGTTATGTCTGAGTGTTGGAGCATGCCCCTGACTATCAGTAAATTTTAAAAAACTAGAAAATTGTGCCATCTGGTTTGCTTAATATAAGGAATTTTAAATGATTTATACTTTTACTTTTACTTTTGATACTTAAGTATATTTTAGCAATTACATTTACTTTTGATACTTAAGTATATTTTAAACCAAATACTTTTAGACTTTTACTCAAGTAGTATTTTACTGGGTGACTTTCACTTTTATTTGAGTCATTTTCTATTAAGGTATCTTTACTTTTACTTGTAATGTCTGAGGGTCTATGATTTTGCTGACGTTTGCAAAAAGTGTGTTATAGGAACTTGGCTCTGCTTGCGGAAACATCTGGAAAGCATTACTACATAGGCTTCTTGGAATAGAGGATATGGGGAGATATGTGGAAAGCCAGGGATTGGTTTATTAAAATCACGCCATATTATGTCACATAGGATATAAATACCATGTCTTGAACAAAGGACTGAGAGAATAGCATATTACAGATCGGGTCCGGCTGTTCTTCAGATATTCTGCAGATGTCTGTAAATTGACGCTAAAACTCTTTGGATACAATAAATCTTTATAATCAAAGTACAGCGTCAGCGGATTTTCTTATCATCACAGCATTATCAGCGTCGTTGTCTTTACACCACATTAAATGGCGACGAGGATTGGGGCGTCTTGCATCTTTTCTCAGCGTTCCATTCATGGGCTACGAAGTGACTCCCGCTCAAGAGGCATGCAGATACGGTGAGCTTTCTCACAAACTTTGGGCGCTGGTCAGTTCGTGTGGCTGTGTGTGTGCGCTAGGGGGATGTACCGTCAAAGAACTTGTGTGTGCGCTTTGCAGTTATTTGCTGTGTGATGAGAATTCCGTTCTAAATTTTCTAAATTCGTTTGCGTTGGGAACAACGCAAAAAGGGGGGAGTGTTTATAGGAATTATTAACACTGGGCACACCGATATTTGGCTTGAATAAAATTAAAAGGAGTGTCCAGGAAAAGCATGAAGGAATAAGGCCAGGAATAAGGAAAAAGTATACTTTTAGAACGTCGCTGATTAAGGAAGCCCTCAAACGAGGCGATCATTAAGATGGGCCATAAATCCTAGGAGAGTTATTAGATTGACTCTCGGGTCAGTTCTGGGAACTGTGGGATTGTAGAAGATATATTCAATTGTATGTTACCTCTCGGAATATGGTTGACGAATTATATGTCCGAAGTGACCTCTCATTGAATGTCTACAACTCGAGGTAGCATAAATTTAGTAAGGTACAAAGAAAATAAGGAGCGACGGTAGCATGCTTAGTGTATTGTATGAACGGATGCATTCTTGTTTAAACTGTGTATGCGTGTGTGTGTGAGACAAGGAGAGCCTATGTCTCTGTGTGTGTGTGAGACAGAGAGAGAGCCGCTACATGTGTGTACATGGAGAGGTCTCTGATGTGTTCCAGCTGTGTGTCGACTCATGTTAGGATAAGATCTATGTTAGAGATATATACATATATATGTTTTGGTTGAGAATAGGGGTTTTAGTTTTTTGTAGTGTATAGAGATGTTTTGTAATTGATAACAAC